CATATTGGCTCTATAGACAAGGCTATTTTTAATAGGCAATTGACTATTGCAGCCTGCAAAGCTATCAAATAGGTTATTAAACGGGAATAAGATGGTCTCCCCTACAGGGGGTATTGTTTAATGCCTCACACTCAGAAGCCTGGAACAGAATATGTGCTTCAACTCTGCAAATATGCACGACTTTGCCAGGCAAGCCTCAGATTCTGAAGACCTTAATGCTTAACCTAAGGCCTGCTCATGGAAAGGATTGGAATCTGTCAGTCAATTAACAAGCACTCATTAAGCACCTCTTATATGCCACAAACTGCTAGATGCTAAAGATACAAACCAAAACTGTAATGGTCCCCCACTCTCAAGGAGCCAATGTTACGTCAGAGGAAATAACGTTTATTTATATATATATACATACAAACACATGTATGTGCAAGCATGTACATATACACATAGTCTATGTGTGACATGTGTATACAAGTGTTTGTATATATACATTTATTTATCCACATACATATATGTATATGCACATATATGTATGCATGTGTGTGTTTCCTAGAACAGGCAGATCATAGAATTAGAGCTGGAAATAATATTAGAGGCCACTGAATCCAACTTATTCATTTTACAGATAGGAAAACTGAAGCAGTGACTTACTTATTGTCACATAAACATTAAATATCTGAGGTGTGATTTAAATTCCAGTCTTCCTAACTCCAAGTGCAGCACTCTATCCACCACTACCGATTGCCATACAGTGTTTGATTGAGTACACACACACACACACACACACACACACACACACACACACACCATGGTGAATACAAAGTGGTCACCACGGTCTGAGACAAAGGGATGCCCTCTGGCATGGTGTGTTTGAGCTTTCCCTGGTCTGAAATGGCAAAGCATCTCCGTATCACCCCAGCTTGGGAAGCTAGTGTACAAGACTGATAGAGGTCTTTTCAGAGTCTGGAAGAACTGTGAAAAAATGACTTTCCACCTCCTGGCAGAGGCATTAGTTAAGCCACTAGCAAGAAACAAGTGAAAAGAAAGTGTAGGTAGCAGGGGGCAAACACTTGACTGTGATGGAAGTGAGCCGAACTGAGCTTTTCCTAGGAAGGAGGTGAAAGCTACTCAGCCTAAGCCCCAGTAAGTCAATAGCCATTGATTGAGTACTTACGGCACATATGGCTCTGTGATGAGTGCTCCAGTGGGGGTAGAGCATAAGATTTATTGGAGTACTGAGCCTGAGCAGCCAATAGCCTGATGCCAGCCCAGGTTGTTCGATTCTGATAGTTCAACATTGACTCTAAGATGGCTGGAATTCTTTCATCTCACCTGTATTAGCCAAAATCATAAGTTGCAAAATGTGATGGTAAGAATAATTTTTTGAAAAAGCAATGCCCTTTGGGAGGGTACAGTTGACAGGTTAAACCAGTTGCCATTTGGCAAGATAAAGCAAAATCACAGGAAAAGTCAAACAACAAAGCACTAGTGAAATGATATCTTTAGGGATAACAGAAGACACTTGTTGATAATTAGCAAAGACAGGATGCATACATAAGTACTGAGCAGCTCAGCAGTAGGTGAACTCACTGTAGACCAAATGTGTCTGGGAAAGTTTCATGGGCAAAGTGAGACTAAAGCTGGTCTTTAAAGGGTAGGTAACTATAACAATAATAGTCAATGTTTGTCTAGAGCTTTAATGTTTGCTAAGTGGTTGACCTAAGTTATTTCATTTGATTGTCACAGCAACCTTAAGAGGTAGGTGCTGATATTATACTCATCTTACAGATAAGAAAACTCAGGGAAGTTAAGTGACTTGCCCAGGGTCACGTAGCTAACAAGAGTCGGAAGCTCAAGTCTTCCTGACTCTAGGTCAGTGGACTCTATCCAACATACCACCTAGCTTCCTCAAAAAGCAGAAAAGAGTAGGGAGTGACATGATTGCTGAAAGTACCCCCATCCGTGGCTCTTTCTGTCCCTACTACCTTATAGTTATAGGAAGAGAAAAGTCACATAGACCTGGACAACAGCACATTTGTGGATACCCCCTTATAAAAGCATTACACTTGACTTGTACTTATTTTATTTTTGATGTTTTATTAGTGAATTTTGTTTGTATAACACAATTGTTTCCCAAAAAAGACCTCACCACGCCCTTCATGGTACCATTCCCTGTAAAAGGAGAGGGAAGAAAGCAACCCAACAAAACCACCCAATGCCATAACTGTAACTGACATAGTATGCAGCACTCAACACCCATGGGTCCCCACTTCTCTTCCAAGATGAAGTCAGTATGTTCCAACATCAGTCATTTGAAACCATTATTGACCATTGTACTTGACTGAAGTTCTGTTTTTTTCTTTGACATTAGTGGAGCCATGGTTTACATCATTCTCATAGCACTGCTTTCTTTTATTCTTCATCAGTTCATACACATTTTCCCTTATTCCTCTAGTCTTCATTCACTGATGTTGGGTATGAATTTTTTGGTGTGTTTTTTTTTTGGGGGGAGGGGAATTGGACCTGTGATTTCATTGGTAGGTAACTCCCAATGAGACAACTGCTTGTAGCAGATTTGAATGTGCTCTGAACCTTATAGTCTCAGTAAATTGCCTAGAGCAACAAGACATTAAGTGATTCAGCCAGAGTCACACAGCCAGTAGGTAATCAGTGGCTGGACTTGAACTCAGCTCTCAAAGATTCTCCAACCATTATTCTCATTGCTTCTCACAGTGTCATCATATTCCATTACATTCACATATGTTACACATTTAATCACCCTTCCCCAGCCAGTAAGCACCTACCCTGGGACAGGGGGCAAGGTTTTGCCCCAAAAACTATTAAGCTGGATTCATTCTACCTAGCTAGTTATTTTTAATCAAAATAACCAATCATTAACCTCTCCAAAAGGGGTGGGGATCCTTGCTTGGTGGAGCCACTGAGCTAAGGGACCATGGCTGTCTCTTCTTTTCTTGTCTTCATGCGTCCTCTGAGCTCCTAGGGGCTAGGAGCACTTGCCTAAGAGAATCTCTCATTAAAGTTGCTGGTTCCACTGACTGAGGAAGATGAGATTAGTAGGAAGGAATAGAGGTAACTCAGTCTGGAGCAATTACTCAGCCATCAGAAGGCACAGGAGACATTGACTCTAATCCTGCTACACATCCACTTGTGAACCCCATACACTTGACCTTAAGACATTCTGAAAGCCAGGAGGGTGTCATTGAGTGCATTTCTGGGATGCTGCAATTGGTAAGCTAAACATTTTCTTTCTGGGTGAAGCAGATTTGGAGGAAAAGTCCAGCTCTCAGGTGAGTGGAATGTTGAAATCTGAAGTTCTGGGTGGAATTTGTAATGAAATTGTGATTCTAAAATTGAATTCTAAATTTCATCTGTACTGTTTTAAATATCTATCTATCTATCTATCTATCTATCTATCTATCTATAGATATATATATACACACACACACATATATACATATATACATATAATATATATATACATATACATATATATATATATATATGTACATATATTTTTATATAATGGCAGTGTGGTGTAATAGATGGAATACTGGACCTGGATCCAGGAAGACCTGGGTTCAAGATCCATTCTAGTCACTGACTAGATGCATTACCATGGGCAAGCCCCTTAACATCTTTCTGAGCTGAGCACAACTCTCTCAGACTAGAAGTTACAAAGGAGTTATAATAAGCATTGGTGGAATAAATTCTCACGCTGGAAATTCCAAACTGTGAAATCATATATCCTTGATACATTTGTTAACCCTCTCTCAGCTTCAGTCTCCTCCTCTGGAAAATGAGAGAGTTGAACAATATAATGTCCAAGGTCTCTTCCTGTTCTGAATCTATGATCTTTAATTCCCATATGTCTGAAGCCAGACTTGAGCCCAACTCTTCTTACCTCCAAGTCCTTCCATCCATCATCTAAACTAGATTGCTCTCTATTCTTTCAAATGGTAGAAAAACATACCGATTTACCACTAGAAATATTCGCAATTGTGCCTTTCATAAATGAATGCTTTGATAGAAATCCCAGCTTGTTTATACACCTGTTCAAATGTGCTCCCTTTTATTTTTAAATAGGATTGTGGATGGAACGGAAGATGGAATTACTAATGAGGAAAACCAGACTTTTGACTTTGGTTCTGAACAAATGAGGCAGGATCCCCGAGTAACTCCTCCTATAGCAGGTCAGCCTTCTACCCAGTCCTCTCTCCAGAAGTGACCCTTCTTTGTATCCAAAGGTTGGAGGACTGTCTTCACATCTTTCCGTTCTTAGGTGATTCTCAGTGTGATTAAAACCTGGCCAAGATTGCGAACCATTCAGGCTTTTAGCGTCACTTTTGCCTTTCCCATACTCCCATAGCCATTGTTACTGTTCTAATCTGCGATTTAGCAGAAGATGCCTATGTTTTTCAGAAGGCACAAATGCCTACCATTTATCAACTGGTAACCCTGTTTTCCTGTTTTGAAGACAAATCTAATCTGTGAAAACAATGTTACACAGAGGAAATAGCAGCTGCCCATGCAGTGGAGGAGCATAGGTTTCTTCTGCAGTTTATCTGGTGACAGCTCATTTAATTGGAGTGTATCAGTAGCTAAACTATATCAAGGAGGACTTGAGAGAGTTTGGCCGTGCCCACCTTTGTGCTTTTGCCTGTAGAAAGATGTCTGTCACAGATAGCTAGCAGGTGATGGCTTTAATCAGGGTTAAAAAAAAAAAAGAATAGATTTTCTGCATCTGGTGAAGGAAAAAGAATGATTACTTGCTGAAGCAGCATCGATAAGTCTGAGCAGGTTTGCTCCTGATCCTCCATTCCTATTCTCTTCTTCAAAATGTGAAAGCCTCCCTAGCCACCCCAACCCCATTCTGCCCCTTTGGTAAAATGCAATAGTCATGACTGAAATTGCTTTATGAAAAAACACCAAGCTAAGACAAAGTCTTTCTTATGATCTCCAATGTGGACAGGTCTATGTGATAAGATAGCAAGAAAGCATTCTACACAAACATTTACCTTGATAGAAAGATGACTGAGTGGTCCTTGCAACACGTAAGGAGAACAGTAAGTTAACTGAGTTTGCCTATTTAGCATCAAATATAGCAACGATCTTTGAAGCCAAATTCTCTCTATTTGATCTGGTTTTATGGGAGATGAACTAGAGTTCAATCGAACTGAATTCAGTAAGCTTTTTAGCAAGTATCAACTATGCTGGGCATTGCCCCAGGCACTGGGGATAGGTACAAAGACAGGAGCACTTCCAGGCTGTGTCTCCACAAGGGGTTGTTTCTGGGATGATGGTTGAGAGCAGTGGACTGGAAGCAAGGCTCTTGGCTTTAGGTCCTGAGCGGTCTCCATTAGGGTTTGAGGGGAGATGGTGGACAAGTTGGTGGTGATACTATGGCTTGCCTGGCACGTGCTCCTCCTCTCACACTCAAGGGGCCTTGCTACTTCAGCTAGGCTAGCGTACCTGCCTTGTTTGGCATCTGGTGGATAGTTCATGGAGACGACTGGCCCCTCTTCCACATGATTTGCTTGCCTCAATGATGGCTGTGATGGAATGAGATAGAAGCAGGGCTGGTGGTCTGGAAGGACTGCTGTTCCCAAGACTTGTGTTCAGAGTCCTGAGCCCTCAGGATTGAAAAAGAAATACTTCCTTGTAAAGTATTGTTAGAAAAGGAGAAGAGGATGCCTGAGATGTTTCTTCTCAGAGGTACACTGTGATCTTTCCCCTAAGAATGATCCAGGGGAAGAGCAATGAGGAGAAAATAGGGGAAAATGTACTCATTCGCAACCAGTAAGACTGCTGTCCTTGTGGCTATTAGCCGTGATGCCATCTCTTTACCGGAGTTAATATCATAATGGAGAGGCAATGTGAAGCAGTGACAGAGAGCCAATGTCAAAGTCAGCAAGACCTGGGTTCAAATCCTGCCCCTGTCACATTCTATGTGACCTTGAGCAAGTCACTTCCCATGGGCCCCAGGCAACTTTCTAAGACTATAAGTTGTGAAACAGTTGATAATTCCTTTTAGTAGAAGAGTCTTCTCCATAGGCATTCCCTCCACAATGAAATCATGGCTCTGACCCCCCCAAAAAAAAAAGTTATTTCAGTGAATATATATATATCAAATTTCAGTTGGTCAGCAAGTCAAATTACTTTGTTTCTCACATATAACAACTATCAGCAATGTGTTAGGCACCACACAGAGTAGATTCATGGTATATAGAAAAAACACTAGCCCTGGAATCAGCACCTGGGTTCAAAACCTGTCTCTGACACTTAAAACCTGTGCAACCTTGGACAAATCACATCATCTTCCTGAGCTGTTTCTTCATCTGTAAAATGAGGAGACTGGATTGGATGACTGCTGGGGTGTTTTTTGGTTCTAGGGTTATAGCCAATGATTATGACATGAAGCGTTGCCATAGTGTCTAACGATCCAAGTTAGATGAACCCTTCCCTCTCCTCAACACACACACACACACCCTGACATCAGCTCAGAATGGAAGGAATACCTCATGTTTTCTGCCCCATATTAAATCATCTAAATCTGGGAATGTGACCCCGTTTCTAATGGATTCATTTGCTGTGTGTGTCACCTGCAGACCCTGAGCTTGGAGCAGCAGTTCTATTTATCAAGGCAGAGGAAACCAGACAACAGATAAGTAAGCTGAATAGTGAGGTAAGGAGACTTATTTTGCCTGGGAACAGTGGGAGTTAGGGGTCATACCCAGGGTGTTTTGACTTATTTAACTGTTGCTGTGTGTGTTAATATGCGACTTCTAACTCATCTGAATTTTAAGAAATCTAAGGCAAAAGTCGAGTAGCTAGGTGACGTAGTAGAGAGTGCCAGGCCTGATGTCAGGAAGACCTGAGTTCAAATCCAGTCTCAGACACTTGCTAGCTATGTGACCCTGGGCAAATCACTTAACTCTTTCTGCCTCGGTTTCCTCTTCTGTAAAATAAACTGGAAAAGAAAATGGCCAACCACTCTAGTATTTTTGGCAAGAAAACCCAAAACAGAGTCACAATGAGTCAGATACAAGTGAAGTAACTGAACAACAATAAAACAGGCAAAGGTCATCCTTTGTGAGGTGATACAGCATAGTGACAGAAGCACTAGACTGACCATTATGACACCCCCATGATCACAGACTTGCTGCTTCCTCTGTGGGACTGTTTTCTCATCTATAAAAAAAGGGGCTTTTTAAGATAATCTCTATGATCCCCTGCATTCTAAATTCTTTTAATCCTTGATAATCCCCTTGTTTCAAATAGATAGCACTAATTAGCAATAAAAATGATAAAGAGTTAAAGGGAAAAATAACTAGTGAGTGAAACTCAGGAAATATGGAAGAAAGCTAAAATTCCAACTCCAGACAACTTCTGATTGTCTGTGTTGACATGAGAAAAGGTGATACAGATTGCGTAAATAAAAAGTGCAGCTCAAAAAGCACCTACTATGTGAAACCTAGAGTAATTCCTCCTATGTGTTGGCCACCATCTTCCCAAAGTCACCATGTGTTTACTTGGTATAAAGTTTGCCTCTATGGAATTATCTTTGTTGTTCCTTACCCTATCCCCTCCCCTAAAAAAAAAAAACCATAAACTCCCTGAGGACGGGAAAGGGGATATTTCACTTTCTACCTTTGCACACCCAGCACTTAACTCAGTTCCTGGTATATGGTGGACACTTAATAAATCCATGTTGATTAGTGGATTGATAGATCTCCAAAATATGATTTTAGTCATTAGTTTCAACTACCTAACAACAACTCTTATTCAAACCTCTAAGAAGTGGTAATGTTAATTGATTTCAGTTTTGCCCTTCCCCCCTCCTCTCAATACCTAATGCTATATTTCATAGATTCACAGATCACAGATATAAAGATAGAAGTAACCTCTGAGCTCATTGAGTCTGGCCTCCTCAGTTCACATGGTTATTAATATTTAATACTTCAATGAGTCAATGGTTTCAGTAGTCTGAACAGTCTGTCCATCAGTGTAGATCAAAGCCCTTCCCTCTAAGTTTTCTGGTCTTGAATGACCCTTCTATATCCTTCTTTAAATCTTCTAAAGAGGCTGTATTCAATGCTCTGGATACTTCTTTTCATACTTTGTGATTGCAAGGGCAACCCTCCACCTATCTATTGCTCATCCCTTCCTCAGAATCCTTGGCTGACCCACCTCCTTTTCTAGTTACATGAGTCCTTGTCTGTCTTATATAACTCAACTCACATGCCCACCATTCCTGGTATTTTCCTTAAGCTTGCCTTTACCCAACTATGTGGTTTTCCATGGCCGTCTAAGTATCCTCTAATTTTGACACTTCTGAGTTCATAATGTTCCATGATCCTTTGCTATATAGTATCAGTGGGATCATGGTAGTTTATGAAAATGAACTTCTGTAACAATAAGTATCTTAGGATCATTAAAATTGATTCAAATTTGATATCTACAGTCAGTCTAGCATAATATCCTCCTTCTAGTCAATTCTGAATTCTGTTCATTTGATAATGCTGTAGTTTATTTGTGGGATGGGGTAGAAGGGAGTGATATAAATATATATAGAGAGAAATATATGTACACACACATACACACATATATATTCACAAATGTGTGTATGTGTGTGTATGTCTAGAGAGACAGAGAGAAAAAAAAATATAGAAAGAGACAGTGAGACAAAGAGATGCCAGAGAGAGAAAGAGTTGATGCATATATCCTACTGCTGATTGAGTTGCCTACATATGAAACACTAAGTGGATGAAAATACCTATTGTCCTACTTATGCATGATATGCAGTTGGATGGACAATCCACAGAGCTAGTGTATCAGATCTTGGATAGACACTGAAAATGGAAAATCAACTGGGCTCGGGATTGAATAAGTAGAGTAAAACAGTAAGCTGACTTGCCTTTGGGTAAATGAATGATTCTTTTAATGAATCCAAGCTTCTCCTTGAAACAAAAGTTCAACTTTTTAAAATCAATGTTCCATTCCTGTTGTTGCATGGCTGTGACTCATGGAACATTGCTATTAAAGGTCATCTAAAGGGCATTAGAGAAGCTAATTGATGGTAGGCACGAGCAAGTTGTCACACATCAAAAATAATAATAAATTGTTAGCATTTCTAAAGAATCTTAATATTTGCAAATAATTTTACATATATTACCTCATTTAATCTTCTTGATAACCCAGAGATTTAGGTGTTATTATTATCCTCATTTTGTAGATGAGGAAACTGAGGTTGAGAATGATTAAGTTATTTACCTATAGTCACATAGCTGGTAAATATCTGAGGCAAATGAGAAATTCTACTACAGTACTGATATTCAGAGAGTCATTGTATGATCGGAAGGAAAAAAATAAAAATGGATCAGTCGGAGAGTGAAAGCAAAGGATGCTTGTGTATCCATCCATTGAAACCCATTCTTGAAATGGAAAGCATTCTAAAGCAGGGGTTCTTAACCTGGGATTTTGAAGGGTTTTTTTATTTATATTTTGGCAACTCTATTTCAGTATTATCAGTTTTGTTTCTGATCTTACACATTGTATTTTATCCATTCGGAAAAAGAATCCATAGGCTTCACCAAAGAGGGCTATGATATAAAAAAGTGTAAGGAAGGACCCATGGGCTGGGGGAAAGCCTACCAGGATGCTAAGTGCATTCCCAATGGGGGATTTATGGGGTAACGAGAATGATACTCCTGGAGGATAGGCAGGCAGGGATGGGTGATAATCTGGATTGTTGGGCTCAGTATCCATATCAATAAGATTGCAGATATACCAAATAATCAAACTATGATATATACATAAAGAACATGCCTACATCCTATGTGTGTGTGTGTGTGTGTGTGTGTGTGTGTATGTGGTTATATATGTGTTTATATACATGGGCAGCTGAGGGGCACAGTAAATAAAGCAACAGGCCTAGAGTTAAGAAGACCTGAGTTCAAATCCAGCCTCAGACACTAGCTAGCTGTGTGACCCTAAGCAAGTCACTTAACCCTGCTTGCCTCAGTTTTCTCATCTGTAAAATGAGCTAGAGAAGTAAATGGCAAATCATTCCTGTATCTTTGCCAACAAAAATCCCAAAGGAGTCAACGAAGAGTCAGCCATGACTGAAATGAATGAACCAACAACAGCAATGACTATATATGTGTGTATGTCTGTGTATGTCTATGTATGTCTACATGTATGTATGTATATATGTTGTGTTCATCTCAGTGCTTTACTATATATGTGTGTATATATGTACATATACACACATAAATACATATATGGGAAAACATTGAGATGAATATAGTTATCCATATACACACAACTCCTTTAGCACCTATCTAATAATAATAATAAACTCTTCTTCTGTAGCACTTTAAAGTTTGTCAAGCACTTTACAAATATTATCTCATTTGATCCTCATAACAACCCTGCGGGACAGGCACTCTTGTTGTCATCTTCAATTTAAAGATGAGGAAACTGAGGCAGACAGAGGTTAAGTGACTCACCCAGGGTTACACAGCAAATATGTTTCTGAGGTAGGATTCCTACCCAGGTCTTTCTAAATCCAGATCCAGTGACTTCTCCATTGCACCACCTAGTAGTAGTTGTAATCCACTAATAAGCAATT